ACTAGTCTTTAATAAGGATGAGCTTAGTCTTTAGTCCTTCTAGTGAAGTCCTTCCCCAAGCTCCTCTACCAATTTTCTACAAGTACACCTCCCAAGAAAAACCATGCAGCACTAAAATCACGCCTCAGGAAGAGGAAACACAAGTCCAAGATGGCGCTCTCATACCTCGGCAAAGTCTGGGTCCTGGGAGGAGTCATTGAAATCCCGAAACATTCCTACAGCCTGCAGATACCTCTTAATGTACTTGACCTTCTCTTCATCACGGCCTGGGTGGGCATTTTAAGAGGAAACAAGCAATAGATGTTAATACTTCTGGTTAAAGACTATAAGCTACTACCTCCACCAGCAATTATACAGTGATGGCACTTCACTTTCACACGGTAGGCCTGCTGATGCCACAGCACTCAGGACACTAGTCTGACTCTAGCCGATCTGCTGTTCCCTGTGGACTATTAACTGACCTGTGGTTCCTAAGGAAGAGGCTATGAGAGTCTCCTCCTACCTGTAAGCATCTGGTTAAAGACTATAAGCTGCTGCCTCCACCAGCAATTATACAGTGATAGCACTTCACTTTCACACGGTAGGCCTGCTGATGCCACAGCACTCAGGACACTAGTCTGACTCTAGCCGATCTGCTGTTCCCTGTGGACTATTAACTGACCTGTGGTTCCTAAGGAAGAGGCTATGAGAGTCTCCTCCTACCTGTAAGCACTCCCCCTCTATTATGCTCCTCAATTAGGAGCATCCTAGGCCTCGGCACATCCTGCCTCTGCCTTCACCTGGCCAGACTCCCAGCAACCCACATTATTATTGCGAACATAACATCCACCCCGATCCCACAAGTCACCAGCTAGGAGCACTCCCTGTGTGCCCGGCACTGTGTGCTACACATTTTGAATGCATGATCTCAATCTCTAATCCCTTATCATGACCTTAGGAGACAACTACTGTTATTATTCTCATTCACAGATGAGGAAATGGTGGCTCAAGATAAAGTAACTTTCCCATGGAATGCAGCCAGTGAATGACAGAACCAGGATCCGAACCTGAGTTTGACGCCAAAGTCCAAAGTCTTAACTCATAGTGCTGCATCCCCGGAAATATGACCCTGAACGCTCAGCACTTCGTCACAAGCCCCTGGCTGAAGGAGATAACACTCAGGAAGTACGTCCAAAGGACATGCAGTCCACCCAAGCCTCTGAATAAAACTGTTTGAGAGCCTGATCCTTGGACCCACCACACAGCAGCATTTGTTGTTTGCTGTTTCTTTGACATGAATTGTCAAGGTCGTCAGCTTCTAGCAGGGGCCTCACAAAAGCC